GTGCCTATTTTACCACTTGAAAACCGGGGTCTACAGAGTTGAAGTAGTTGCTCAACCTTATGTTGGAAGATTTATACTTTATGAAAAGTATACTTATTTTTATTTTCAGTCAATTGTTGATAAATTGAGAGGTGTCATTAATTGATAAAAATTTGTCAGTGTATATAATGTCACTCTATGAGGTACTTGACATAATTATTTGATAATGACGATTGTTTTTTATAACCAGTTATTTTCAAGTAAAAAATTTTAACTAATATAGGCATTGTGCATATCGATGGATCCCAAGTCATATTTTGATACATTGTGTGATCTTCAAATTGGGGTTCATGTGCCTTTCTCCTCAAACATTTATTCTTTCTTATTTCACAAGCTGCAAGCCCAGGTATGTTCTGAGAGAACTGATTGTACTGGAGAGAGGTGTGTGAGGTGAATTGTGTCACCCACACACTGGGAATTCAAAGCTTATTCAAAAGAGAGGCTGCATTGCAACTTGATTGGTTCAGCTCTGCTTCTTACCCAGGATCTGATAGAATGTTCTGGAAGCTTTGTTGAGACAAAATAATTACAGCAGAACCCTGTATCAATAGTGATGCTCTCAGCAGATGTTCAGCTTTCAACGTCATTGCCATGTGACCTGCTTCTCAGGGTCGTAAGAGGATAAATAAGAGTGATTTGAGGTCAGTTTCTTAACCATCATATTCCTGAAATTTCAAGGTTAATTCAGACAGATATATAAATTATTTAAAGATAAAATATGTTGTTTTTGTATTCAGTGAACAGCACTGGAAAAATTATTCCTGAGATATATGTCTGCAATTTTGACCAGTTTCCATTCTTTAGAAAAGCTTATTGATGTGTTCTTGAAAGTCACTTAATAAATGTTCAATTTATTGGAAAACATGATACACATTTACAAAAAATTTCATAAAATAAAAAATATACAGCTTAATTAAACTTTATACAACTATTCTAGTGGGAATGCAGTAAGCTCTAACTGTTGTTTTAGTTTTCACTTCCCTTATTTCTAAGGAGATTGACCACTTTTTATATTTGTCATTTCTGTATGAGAGGATCTTGTGAAGTAGCTGTTCTTTTCATGACATTATCTGTTTCATATTGATTAACTAAAGTCACTTATACATTTTTGGCTATATCTTTTGTTGGTAATACAGTCAAATGCTCAAATGAATTTTCCTATTCTGTGTCTTGAGTTTTCATGGGAATTTATTTTCGTAGGCTGGCATTGAACACAGGGCCTTGGACAAGTTCTCTACCACTGGGACACAGTCATGGTATTTTCTCATTTTACAGCTCTTTTCATGGTGTCTTGATAAATGGAAAATCTTTATTTTGATGTAGCTTACTTTATAAACCTTTTCATTATGAATTATATATTTGAATAAACTATAGTCAGAAAGCATATGGTTTATAATTCCAATCCTTTTAAATTGGTTAAACCAGCTTTATGGTTATTGTATAATCAGTTTTTAAGTGTGCATGTTCAAAAGAGTTTGCTTTCATTGTGAGTCTAGTTTTCCATCCATACCTGTTTTGTGACATTGCTAAGAACATTGTTTAATTCTGCAGTATTCTTAGTATTTGTAACATATTCTATGAATAACTGTATTGATTTTACCACTGCTATAGACATGTCCATTTCCACTGTGGCTCTCTCAATTTTGCTTTATATGTTTAAAAACTATAATGCAAGCCTGTATGTTTTAAGATTGTTATAACTTACTGATGAAGTGAATGTTTAATTATTCTAGGGTGTTTAACTCTATTTCCCATTGTTTTCTGTGGGACAGTTGGTTAAAAACTGACTAGTTTTCCATTTTTATGTAAAATATCTTCACTTATTTATTTATTTTTATTATCATATTACCATACTGGAGGTACAATGTGAAATGAAGTTCTTACAGTATATCATAGTCAAATTCACCCCCTCCATCCTTCTTTATCCCCTCCTCCCCTATTCCTGGAATAGTTTCAACATGACTCATTTTTCTATTTTCGTTCAGGGGTACATAATACTTCTAGTAAATTCATCCCCCTGTACATCCTTTCCTTATATTCTTCCCCTTTCTACCGGTAGCAACGCAGACAATTCTGCTGGCAATATGACCTTTCTTCTTTCAGCTCATCCACAAAAGGAGATAATTAGGTAAAAGCCACTAACTGTAGTTTTAAAGTAAAAAGGTAAAACATGGTATATTGTGATAGCTGAAGGGGATCACTTAACCTGGACTTAGTCAACAAGTTGAAAAGATGTGGAAAAAGGTGGCACCTGAGCTGGGTTTGAAAGTAAGTAAGAGTTAGAAAAAAAAAGTGGCAGCGTCGCAGGCAGAGGAGTGAGGCAAGGTGGCAGGTGGCAGGCTTAGGTTCTTACATGGCTCAGCCACTGTGTGCGTTAGAGAGACTGGGAAGGAGCGGGCTCTACAGACAATGGTGTTTCTCATTCTTTGGTATTTCAAAGCTTTTTAAAATAAATGTTTGCCATTATAAATAAGTAAATAACATTTCAAGGAAGAGTTTTCAGCACTAATCTTTATCCACATTCCACAGAGACTATTTAAGACAAATTCCTTGAAGTAAAATTGTTGTCACAAGAGGCACAGCCATTTTCATGTGCAAAAGGGGATCTCTGATTCAAGATCACAGTAGATTTTTAGAAGTCAATTTGTATGGAGCTAAGTGCTAAAGGAATCTTAGACATTAGGAAGAATGAAGGTGAAGAGCGTAAATGACTGAGGGCTCTCATGAGCACAGCAAGAGTTGAGAGTTGGTCAGTAATCCAGTTTTAGTTGGCTGAGAACAAGGTATGGGGAATCTTGTTGACAGAGTGGTCTTTAAGTGTAAATTAGGATTACTAGGATTATATATGATTTCATCAAAAGACTTAGCTAATAAAATAATAAAAGGTTTTCCCCCTTTTTCTTACCTTTTGAAGTTTATAGAATACATTTGCACCATATTCCCCAAATCAATAATGGCTATCTTTCATAGAGCAGAACTGATTTTCTTCCATCTCCGCAGGTGATTTTAGCATCTGGAACCTATTCTGTTTCTCTTCCACCGCCCACCATCATGCTAAATAATATCAACCTTGCCTTACTTGCCTCCTATTCCTCCACATCCATGTGTCCTAGAATGGTACTTATTAAGTCTGAGACCCAACTTCACCATGTAACATCTGTGTAATTCCTGACAAGTTATTTAACCTTTCTTTGCCTCAGTTTCCTCATGAAAACCTCTACACTCTTCATCAGAGGCCTGTGAAAATTGAATGAAACCATGCCTGGGAAAAATCTGGAACGTCTCTGCACCACAAAGAAAATTATTTTTCTTCCCTTTATGAGTCTTCAAACTCCTCCAGGTTTTACATGCTTCTTGCTATAGTTTAGAGCAGCTTGATGCAGCTTTCCAAAGATAAACCAAGGATGAACTGCTTTTTCCTGAAAGTTGTCTTTAGACATACGTGTACATGGCCACCCTCATTTACAGGCAAAAATCCATGGTGAAAAAGGTGCCTCTTCTTTCTTTGCTATGTTTGAGAATATAATGATCACAGCCTTTATTTATTTATTTATTTTAACTTAGTATTTTATTTTATTTTATTTATTTTTTTCCCTTTAAAGCTTCCCATCCACCAGCTCTTACAAATTCAGGAAACACTGCATTTTAATATTAGAATAGCACATATTTCCATCTTTTACCATGGCCTTGTTTCTCTTGTCTTCATTCTTCCCTTTCCCCCCATGTTAACAAAAGAATCCAAACTCTGGTCACTTCAGATACCAAAATATCACGGCAGGCTGACTAATTTTGCCCAGACTTTCTGTGAAAGCTCCACATGTGTTGCATAATTGATTTAATCTCTGATTTTAGAGAAACACTGAACTCTTTTTATAGGACTCTTGCATATATTTCTCTAGGGCAAAAACTGTCCTACTTTTTTCTCTCTGGTATCTGTTTAGTACTAGGCCATTTTTTTCCTCTAAGACTTTAAACTACCCTCCGTGAAATAAATGAAATCACAGTTGGAAAACAGCTTACTGGACAGACTTATAACCACAAGATAAGAGCGGCACCATACACATTTGCTTAAAATTCTCCTCCTCCTCCCTGCTTCCCTTCTTGCTCTAGTGCATCTTTGGGCTAAAAGATGCCTCCATCCCTCAGTAGAGGGCTGGCATTACCTGCACAGAGCACCAGTTTACCTCAGTGTTGAACTGGAGAACAACAGGCTGTGATTTCTAATCTTTGCTCACCCATTGACCTACTGTATGGTTGCATGCAGATTTACTCAGATTGACTTGCCTAAGTCTTGCTTTCAGCCTCCTGGAACAATGGATATAAAGGCTAGACTGTGGAGACAGGGATGAGACCTTGAGCCTTTTGGCTAACCAGCTGCATGTGAAATGACACTGAGGAGAGAGGATGATTTTATGCTTTTGGAACAAAATGACATTTTGACACTAGCCTAAAGGACAACTAGGTGATTTTAAGTTCACCAGTTATTTTGTATTGTATTTGGAAACCCCATTTTGTTTATTTGTGTTTTCAGGAAATTTCTAAACCAGGAAGTCTCATTTGATAGCAGATAGCTTTTGTGAAAGTGTTTGATCCACTATATAATTTGGAGGACTTCCTTTGCAAGAGATCTGGTGAAAACTTGCCATGTCTCTGAAACACTGACTGAGAACTGATATTATTGTCACTTCTGCTCAAATTTCATTAGCCAAAGCAAGTCAAACGACAGTCTAAATATTAGTAGGTCAGGAAAGTAAACTCTGATCTAATAAAGAAAACACTGTGACTATTTGCTGCACACTAAGCCAAATCTCCTTCAGGGATGTTTACTGAATGCCATTTTTTTCTTACTTTTATATGACCATTGGCTCTTCTCCAAATAATCTACTTTATAGTATGTACTTTACACTCTCTTTTAATTTCAAATTACTTTGTGTGATATCCTTTTCTTTGTAAACAAACAGGTACTTTAGAAAATCCCCTAGAAAAAGAACAAAAGCTTCTGATTCTGCTTCGAGCCTCAGAAGGAATCTTCTGTGACCGTTTCAATGGAATTCATATTGATGCAGGAACAATTGGTAAGAGTATAATATAAAATAATATAAAATATAAAAAATGTAATAAGTGTGTCTGTATCTGATAGTGAAGTACCATCCATAGGCCATCTACTAAATTCCAGGCACTCTTCCAGATAAGTTATGTTTACTATTTCACTTACTAGATCTCCTATGAATACTGTCCATTTTACAGATATCAAAACTAAGACTCAGAGAAGATGAACAATATGCAGTATGCTATACAATTTTATAGTATCAGAAATTAGATTTATTTCCAGATTGGTCAGACACCAAAGTCTAGATGAAGAAGTTCTATCTTCAGCTGTAAATACCATGTGATTATTCCAAATTATGGAATCAGCCTAGATACTCATCAGTGGATGAATGGATAAAGAAAATGTGGCATATATACACAATGGAGTATTATTCAGCCATAAAGAAGAATACAGTTTTGTTGTTTACATGAAAATGAATGGAACTGGAGATCTTCATGTTAAGCAAAATAAGACAGAAAGACTCAGAAAGACAACTACCACATGTTTTCTCTCATACATAGAATATCTAGATATTTTTTTAAAGACATGAAAATAGAAGGAGGATGATTTGGGGAGAAACAGGACCAGTGGTGATGGTAGGGGGGGCAAGAAACCATAATAGAAGAGTGGATATGATCAGAGTTCATTGTATACATGCATGAAAATGTCATAACAAGACCCATGTTTTTCTTTATCATTAGCATATATTACAAACAATGGGTAAACAGATCTACAGATTACTAAGGTGCATTCACTGTTGACAGTTTCTTCATTAATTTTGCCATAATTCAAATCCTATTTTAAATTTGGTCTACATAATAGTACAGAAACTGTAACTGGCCCATGTAACCATGATATGTGGCATCTAAAACAACCTTGGTTTAAGGGGTAAGGCAGTGTTCATCAGATTTCAGATATTTTCTTGGGCTGGGCGGGCACCTATTCTTATAAGTAAAGAGAGATGAGTCTCTGAATGTTCACATTTTTCAAAACTGGATTCCTTTTACTTATATCCTTATAGAGTAGTAGAAGTAATTCAGTTCTCTGTGCATTAGTATGTTTTCAAATGTTAGTTGTTATGTGGCTTAAGTGTGCTACTCTAATCAGCCAGGATTCTGATTTCATTGGGTCTTCCTTTTGATGCACTATTGTGCTAGATGTTTGCAAGTCCACTGCCTTATCTTATGACAAAAGATGAAAAAGCCATTTTAAATGAGGTTTCTGAACATTATGGGATGCAAAGATTAGGATAGTTTGACATCTGTTGACTTAGTCCCAAAACAGTATTACATACACATCGTTATTACATACTACTTTGGTGGTGCTTTAAAGTTTCTTATGAGTTTTTCATGCATCTTATCTTTCTGATAAAATAAGGTTGAAGAATTTTTGTTTTTTTCCCAGTTGACAAAGTGGAAATGTTGTGAAAGGAACACTCGATCTCTCTGGTCCAAGGAGTGATCAAATTGGATCAAACTTTAGTTAAGAGTATACATGGATACATGTCCTGATCCCTGACCCCTGCCATATGGTCAAGCTAGTGATTTTAAATTTTCCTCTGATACTAAATTGTAATAAAGAATATAACATTTGCTTCCCTGCTTGCTTAAATTTTTATGGTATCCTAAGTAAATGACAGATTTTAATCCTTTTAAATCCTTGAAACAACTAAGAGATGGTGTCATTTTACAATAAACCTTTGATTTTTGGAAATGACCAAGAAATCTGTTTTTCTGGTCAATTGAATTTTCTGCATAATTCAAATTTAAGGACACAAACTGCTTTTTGTTATAAACCTTGTTGCTGGAAATCTCACTAAATTACTCCAGGATCCTTTTGTGCCTAGCTGACTTAACATATGGTGAAAAAAATGTGCCTTTTATGAAATAGATTCATAAAACTATGTTATAAAAGCTATGTCCAAAAAGTGAGATTCTGTTTACACACATTGATTCTGATTTTAGTTTTATCTTACAACTTTTTTTCTGAATCCAGTCTTGAACTATTTGAACATTCTTTTTAAAAATTATAGATTTTTATATAAGGACTTGATTAGATTTTAATTTTTGGACCACGCTAGATGGAAAACTAAAGCATAATATTAATATCACAGTGGTATTTGCTGCTTTTATTTGTGCATTTTCCTGCCAAATGTTGTGAACATTTTAGATTTTTAGATTAGTGGTTTACAACCAAATGGGATGAGCTAATGCAGGAATATACAGCCAATTCATTTGGTGCAGGAAGAGAATATTAAAACTCCCAATCAAGCATGTATGAATATGTTCATATATATGTATATTTACTTATCTAAAATGAAAAAATATTACGTAAGTAAAATAAATGTACATGTGTTATGAATACATGATTCATATTTTTTTATTGCTGAGTTTCATGGTCACAATGTTTTTAGATTACTAGAATATGAGGAATTATGCTTAATGTGCTTGAAAATGTCAATGAACTATATAAGAGGAAAGACCTGAAGGAATGGAGTTAGGCTGCATCAAGCATGTCCCTGGTAAGACTTTAATTTGTGAGTCTGAAATAAATTATATTTTGAAACAAAAGACCTAGAGGTCTCTCTCTTGATATCTGTAACAAGACAAAATATTAAGTCCAACCACTGAAAACAAAGCTAGTAGCACCAAAATCCTATCCTCAGGAAATAAAATTAGGCTTGCCTCTAGGAGAATGTAGTGTATAACATAAAATATCAAAACCAGTTAACTTCCAACAGAATTGCAAATGGTCTTAGTCACTTAATGGTAGGAGGGAATTCCTCTTCAAATTTAACTAGCTAGCCATTAAAGTGGTCTGTTTCCCAGCATTCACAGCATTGTGATCTGATAGAGCACCCTTTCCTTTATAGATTTTGAGAGAACACATCTCACAGTTGTATTTGACATACTGTAAAATACTGGCACTTAAATATTCTTCTTTTCTGGTTAGATGGACACATTTAGACATAGTTCTGTATCATGTATTTTGCACATTAACCTCTCAGATGGCCTTAATAATGGTGGAGGATTTTCCTACTCATCTGTTGCTTCTTGAATTTTTCAGGTGTTTATGGGAAAGTTCAGCTTTACAGTGCTTATTCTAAGAAATCCTGGACACATCTTGGAGCTGATATTGCCTCAGGAAATGAGAGGTAAGGAATGAATAAGTCAGGGACTTTATTTTTTGGTTTAGCTTGCATTTGCTTAAGGTTTTATTACAATATGAGATTGAATTTTGGATTAATCTTCACAATTAAAGGTTAAGTGGAAAAATAAGGGACTAGAATGGATTTTTAAAAATCTTTGAATATAGGAGAACAAAACATGCAAAAGATAGGGGAAGAACATAGTTTATTGCAGGAGTACGTTTTAGATAATACATGTTTATTGTTGTCAATAAAATCTAAAAGTGTATGGATTCCATGAGAGAAGAGGTGAAGTATGAGTTGAGAATAAAATAGTATGTGTTTAAAAGGTAGCAGGTAAAGATGTTGATAGACATAAAATGAATGAGATGAAACACATGAAGAATCTTATGAAATATAAGACATGGTAAAGAATAGAGTCACCACTGGCTCAAAGTGAACAGGTGAGGTAAAGGACAAACTGATCTACCATGACTCTAAAGATAAGATGGGGAGATAAAATAATGAAAGATAAGATAGAAAGAGATCAGCAAATGGAAATCTGCATACAGGTGACTGTACTATTAAACAAGAAGTTAGAGTATAAGAAAAAAGGATAATAAAAACTATAACAAATTCATACAGAAAACGTGGGAGAAAATTAGATGTAACTTGAACAGATGAACATCGAGAGTCATGATGTCACATCATTACCGTGGCACAAGAAGAAAACAGGGACAAAAGAAAAGCAGAGTGGAGCATAAAGCCTGCTGGTCTTGAATTCTCATCTGTACCATTACAGAAGGAAATAAGAAGGGGGTGGTGTGACATCTGCAAACACTCAGGAGAAACAAGCTTACAGCTACAGAAACAAAGAAGGCAAATTTTGCTTGGGAAGAACTGACAAAAATGCAAAACTGTGTTAAAATAAACATATTAAACTGAATTTAAAATTCAAGGATAGGAATAAAGCCCCCAAATAATATAAAAGACTAATGGTAAGCATTAAAATATTTTAAATACAGTGCTATAAATAGGGTGTACACTGAAATCCTTACAATGAGACATTCTAATAACTGTTTTTATAAAACTACACAAAACTCATACATTTAATGTAGCAGTCAAGATTATGTGAGGCCTGAGCAGGAGCTGGTATTGCTGTTTTGAGGCAGACAATCTTTTCCTCAGGGAAATCTCAGTTTTGCTTTTAAGGCTTATAAGCTGATTGATGAGGTCTACCCATATCATCAAGGATAAACCTCTTTGCTCAAACTCAATTGATTATTTTAACCATATGTACAGAATACTCTCACAAACACCTAGATGAGTGCTTGAATAATAAGGTATATAGCTTAATAATGTTGATACAAATATTAATCATAGCAGTTTGAAACCCTCACATAAAAATCTGAGACTATAGCCATGGGAGGGAAACTGAAAATGGCGCGTAATAGTGCCATGAAAAGTAGACAAAGTTAGTTTGTTCTACTGCAATTTTAACTTTCTGTGTGGCTGTATTGGTGTTTGAACTGATGGCTTTATGCTTGCTAGACAAGTGCTCTCTCACTTGAGCCATGCCTGCAGTCCCTTTTGCTCTAGTTACTTTTGAGATAGGGTCTCGCTTTTTGCCGGGGTCTGTGATCCCTGTATTTACATTTCCCACTGTAACTGGTAGCTGGGATGACAGGCACATATAGCCACACTAAGCTTTTTCCAGTGAGATGCTAAATTTTTTTTTTTTTGGACAGGACTGGCCACAAATCTTGATCCTCTTGATTTTTGCCCTCCTAAATAGCTGGAATTACAGGCTTGAGCCACTGTGCCTGACTTTTTGTTCAAGTAGAATTTAAAATAGGTTATGTACCCTTTCAAATCACCAGACTTAAAAAAGGAACTCACAAAATAAATAGGAAAAGAGAAGAAAACGAAATGGTAAGTGAACAAAACAACAAAAAAGTAAATAAAAAGTAGAAGAATGTAAGAATAAATCTGTCACTTGTAAAAATAAAGTATTTATATGGCCATCTGACCTTAGACAAAGGAGCAAAAAACATATACACTAGAGAAAAGACAACCTCTTCAACAAATGGTGTTGAGAAAACTGGTTATCTATATGCAGAAAACTGAAACTAAATCACTTTCTCTCACTCTGTACAAAAGTCAATGCCAAATGGATCAAGAATCTTAACATAAGACCTGAAACTTTGTAACTACTATAGGAAAAAACAGGGAAAACTCTGGAAGGCATAGTTAAACTTTTTTTTTTTTACTGAATAGCACTCCAGGTGTCCAGGAAATAAATGGCAAGAATTAACAATTAGGACTGCATCAAATTAAAAAGTTTCTGTGCATCAAAAGAAACAGTCACCTGAATCAAAAGACAACCCACAGTATGGGACAAAATCTTTGCCAGCTACTCCATCGATGAAGGATTAATATCCAGAATATACAAAGAGCTCAAAAAACTAAACAGCAAAAGAACAAACAGTCCAACTAATAAAAAGCAAGTGAATTGAAAAAGCAGTTCTCAAAAGAAGAAATGCACCTGGGCAATAAATACATGTTTGACATCCTTAACCACAAAGGAAATGCAAAGTAAAACCACACTGAGATTCCATCTCACCCCAGTCAGAATGGCCATCCTCAAAAAAACAGACAACAAAATGCTGGTGAGGATTTTGGGGGAAAGGAACCCTCTTACACTGTGTGGTGAGAATGTTAACTGGGGCAAACACTTTGGAAATCAGAACGGAAGCTCTTCCAGAAACTAAAAGTAGACCTGCCTCCTGACTACATCATACCACTCAGGCGTACATTCAGAGTGTAAATTAATACGAAGAGAGGTCCTGCGCACCATGTTTAGTGCCGCTCTCTTCACAAGAGCCGAGCTGTGGGATCAGTCCAGGTGCCCAGCAACTGATGCATGTATGAAATGATCACAATGAACCCCCATGTATTATTAATGCACACCAATTCAAAAATATAAAAAAATGATTAAAACTTTACTAATATTATCCTATATAGAAGAAATGAGTTAAAAACAGAAGTACAACCAGACCTTTGTATTGGAGAAAAATTTAGAACCAATCTATAAAAAATTAAAGTTAAATATTGGATTCAAATGTATTATTTAAATATTAAAACAAATAAGAAATTTAATTGAAATTATTAATAATAAGGTAAAAATAAAAATAAATACATCAAATTGGTGAAACTATTGTACTTTATATTGACAAACACTTCATTTTCCAATGAGATCTTAATAGGACAGTTTTATATCAGATAACATAGTATAAATACATATAAACCAAATGTCTAAAAAATATAAGGAAAATTGACAGAAACAAAAATAGTAATCAAAGACATTTACTTACCTCGTTCAGTTCTTAATCTTTTAATTAAGTAAAAATATGAATGGTATAGTCAATTTCATTTAAAATCAAACTCTTTATATAGTATGTTCTTTAATAAACTTTAGTGCTATTAGGACATGGTTACAATATTATGAACGTAGAGATTAAGCAACATATACACAAACAACCTGAATTTCCCAGAAGAATTTTACCATTTGGGAAATGACCAGTAATAAACTACCTTTGAGACATGGCAGAACGTGCCAGTACGTTAGATGCTTCCTTGACTGGATGACAGCACAGAAATAATCTAAGCTGTCAACATGAAAGGACAGAAACAAGTCCAAAAAAAGCAAGAAATGAAATAAATGAATAAAATAAGTAAACAATAAGTCTAATTAAATCGATCAGTATAAGATAAACGCAGAAATGGTGAATTAAAAAATAGAGCTGAATTTTTATCTTAATTTTTTATGTTCTTTTTTTAGTATATTATTATTGTACTGGGGAGCATTGTGACATTTAAAAAAGTTCTTATAATATATTATAGTTGAATTCACCCCCTCGATCATTCTGCTTTGTCTCCCTCCCCAATTTTGGAATAGTTTCAACAGGTCTCATTTTTCTATTTTCATACATGACTACATAATAATTCTACAATCAAAGATTATTAGTGACTTAATCACTAATAACTTTAATCATGCAAGAGACCAAATATATATATTAGAAAATTCAATTATAACAGATGAATTATAAAAGATGAAAATTGTAATGTTACATAAAATGTGTATGTATATAACATCACTGAAAGTTTTAAAAAAATAAATTTTATAGGTAGGAGAATAATTTTCACAACTGGAAAAGAAGAGTTCCATAATATTGAATTGCATAAAGTTATCAAAGATTATCCTGAGGAATAGATTTGCCATATATATATATATCAGATACCTTCTATATGCATATCATCAGAAGACATGTACAGCTTCCCAATTAATTTTCGGGAGTAAGCATGAAATAAGTCTTTAAACAGTAGCTAAAGATGATGAAAATTTGCCACAAATTTAACAACATTCAAATATAAGTAGAATCCAAATATTCCTAATTAATATAGCACCAAATCAAGTCCAGTATAAAGAAGAGAGAAAAAAAGATCATGACTGAGAGGGATTTATTCAGATAAGCAAGGATGGTTCAAAGTGAAGTAGCGCATTTATATAATGCCTCTCAGAACACACATATTAAGACCATCATCAGCTTGGCACAAAACACAAATGAGTTAAATAAATTTAACAGAATTATACAGTAAGCAGTGTATTAAAACTACAAGGCTACCTCCTTTAAATCACTGTTTCTTAATCGAGTGCCTTCGCCAAATGACAATCTCTGCTTTAAATAAGAAAATAGGCAGGAGGTATAGTTTCATGGTAGAGCACTGGCCTTGCCTGTGCAAGGCCCTGCATGCTATCTATACCAAGCCCCACAATAGTCAATCAATCAAAATAAATAATAATTCAAAAACTACTGAAGAATCCCTCTCAAACAAATAGCTTTCTATTTTATGAAAAAACTGACCTTAAAACTTTCTGTGTAGTTGAGTGGAGGGGGCCCCATAGTTCAGCTTACCCAGGAGGGTGAGGCACGAGGATCACAAGAGAGAAGTTTGAGGACAGCCTG